AAAATTCATATATATATATACATATATTTATATGTGTGTTTATTTAACGTACCACAGGTGATTTCGATTTCGTTTTATTTTTCACCTATACACTTTCTTGATCATTCTCAATATTTGACTTTTTATAATATCGTTCGTTCGTTCGTTCATTTTCGTTCATTTTCATTTCTTTTACAAGTCCATATATGCGTTTCGCTGTAAATTAATACGCCCTCGCAAATTTACAGCGCTTTTTGCTTTTTTACTTAATTATTTATTTATTTTTCTTTTATATTGTTATTTTTTTTTTTCGTTTTCTTTTTTGGTTTGTTTGTTTATTTTTTTTATTATAAATACAATTTCGTGTGTTCTTTTTCGAAGCAAGAATCGATTTGAACAATCACGCGCGCACCCCCTTTTTTTTAACATTTTAATATTTTAATTTCAATTTCAATTACAATTTTTTTTAATTTAAACTTTCGTATTCTTTTCATTTCATTTCATTTCAATTCATTTCATTTCATTGCATTTCATTTCGTTTTCCATTCGTTTCGTTTCGTTTCGTTTCGGTAGGTCGTATAATGATTTCGAGTTTATGTTATTTCGAAAATCGAATCGATTAGTAGGTATTTTTTTATTAAAAAAAAAAAAAAATAAACTAGGGTAGGAGTAGGGTACGGTGTGGTGTGAGGAAATTTCGTATTCGGTGACCTAATCGAATCGATATTATTATTATAAACACGAGTTTGTAATTTTATCGTTTTTTAATTTTTTTCTTTTTCTTTTCTAAATGACCTTTAATGTTCGCGATGATTTGAATAATACGTATTGTAAATGTTGCAAATGAACGCGATGGTAAATAATTATTCTAATTAAGTTAGATATCTAATATGATCTCTCTCTCTCTCTTTCTCTTAGGAATTATCAAAGATTTTTTTCTTTTTCGTTTTCTTGGTAAAAACCATGCAACTTCTTATTCTTATTCTTTTTCTTTTCGCTAATATTATATATACGATTTCGTTTTTTTTTTTTTTTTTTT